CTACTTCACTGCAGTAAATAGAAGGGGTTCTTCTTCTTCAATCTTCTAAAAGCTAATGGTTTTAATATGGGAATCAACGCAGGGTTATTGTGATTGATATTTTATCGTGATTGTTTCCACTCTTGTTTTTATTACTTTCTAAACAGTATTTTATTACTAATTTTGCTCAGGTGGTGCATTTGCGTTTAATATAAAACACCTCAGTATTTTTAATTGTTTTCTTTGGATGGATGAAATTCTTGATCCCCTGGCGCAGCTCCACAACTTAACGCCATAAGCCCAGATCGGTTTTATTAATACTTAATAAAGTATTTTATTTTTTAGTGATTATTTAGATTTACCACCGCACAGTGATTTTATTATTCTTTCCGTCTGTTTTGTTTTGCTAGCAGCATTATTGCTGTAAAAAAATGTATGTTCTATTATTATTGACGGTGTTTTAACTACATTTACAGCAATTGAAATTCAAACAAACAATTAAAAAGGCTTTTCATATTCTGGTCCAATTATTTCATATTTCACGATTTTAAAAATGTATTAAGTCATTTCTTGTGTTAAAGAATTTCGTAAAATTTCTTTCTCACTTCCGAGAATATGTCCCGTTATAAGAGCATATGTACGTCTATTCAAAATACCATTCAAGTTCAAATGCTAGTCACATATCGGATATGCTTAAGATTAGAATGAATAGTTAATTGATTCGATTTTATTCATATTTATTCATTTCTTTGAATTTCATTATTTTTACATAATGTTTTCGAAATGATTAAAGAAATAATAATATTGTAAAAGCCTATACCATTCATATCAGAATTTGAACAGTTTTTAAAAAACTATTGCCTATATATTTGTTTATATGTTTTTTGAGTTTTTCAAATTGGTCCGTTTTCTCAAAAATTGATCATTTCTTCGCTATTCCGCAGCATCTCTAAAATGACTGGACCTGCCTTTGCCAAAAACAAATGGGATTTGAGCCTTTATTAGCTAGCTATGTGTTTTGAAGCATTCAAATCAATTCTTACTTCTCTCGAAATAGTGTCAGAAAAATTCTATTCCAAAACACCCATTCAAACATACATTTTGCTAACAATGACAAATAACAATTATTGCAGGGTCTTGGAAAGTAAAAAGCATAAACGAAACGGATAGATTTTATTGCTCGATATCTATTCGAAAGTTTTCGAGGTAGTTTGGGCGAGGATATAAATGTTTTAATGAATGTGTTCAATATATATCAACGATTTATGACATTAAAAAACAAAAAGATGAACTGATGAAGTTTGCTACTTAGTTGGTAAGAATAGAAATAAACATTAAAAAAAAAACTGGGGCAGCTAAGTGCATTGTTCGAATGGTTAAGTGCAGTATATGTGGAAAGAAAGACGGCAATAGAGCCAATATGCTAAATATTGGCTAAAGTTCGTCTGACATTTAGGAGTTGCTGAAAGTATGTGTAATTTTTCCGATAGTTGGCTCAGGACCTTTAAGTTTCGACATAAAATCCAAAAACTTGATGTAGCTGGAAAAGTAATTTCATTAAACTGAACCTCTGCTGATAAAATGCGAATATTAGTTATATTTTTTATAGTAATTTAACTCTGTGCAGCTGGAGCAGGAGAAAAAGTAGAAAAGAGATTTGAGAAGAACAAAGGCAGCCACCCCTTTTAAAAACTGTTTTTTACCACTTTTTACTATTTTTGCATTTCAATTATTCTCTTAAGTGTGCCGAACTAATGGACACATTGGTCACATTTTATTAACTTAATTAATTAATTTAGTAATTTATTAACTTTAGCTAAAATATATTTAAATGGTAAAACCAGACCAATCCGTTAGGAAGAAAGGGTATGAATTCAAAATTAGAAACAATATTCGAACAATTAAATTAATATCACCAAAAAGAAGTTTACGGATTACGTATTATTTTTCTTCAAACTTCTCATAAATTAAATTGCATTTTTGACTTCTTGTAGGGTAAGTTATAGTAATCGCCAAACAATCGAAAATGAAAATTTTTACATATCTTTACGTTTCAAGCGTTTCTGAATATTTTGGAATACCTTACAGAAAATGGATTATGTGTGTGTGTTTTGGATAGAATTTTTTGTCCATGATTTTGGGAACACGGATCAGCCAATTTAAATAATTTTAAAAACATTTGATTTGTATTGATGGGGAGACATACTGATTAGTTTTTGGCAAAAGTCGGTCCAGCCGGTTTTGAGATACGGGGCAAAAAGTGCCAGCAATGATAATTTTATAAAAAAACATTTCATTGTTTTGGGGGCGTCCATTAATCACGTGAGCTAGTTTTAAGGATTTTTGGACCCCTCCTCCCCCTTGGTGATACGTGGTGATATTCAAAATTACCCCCCCTCCCCCACCAAAACATCACGTGTATTTTAGTTAAGTGAAAACTAAAATTTTTATTATTTTTAAAATTGTTAGATTTTTTTAAAAAAAATCAGTTAAAAAATAAATCCACGTGATATCTTACCATACCCCCCCTCCCCTCCACGTGATATTTCGTGATTTTTCGTCAAACCCCCCCTCCCCCTAAAAACTCACGTGATTAATGGACGCCCCCTTTGTTATAATGAAGAACTGATTAAATTTTTGGAAAGGGAGTCTGACGGTTTTCGGAGATTCAATAAAAAATCCCATTCCGGCGGTCAAAAATGATCATTAGACATATGCACATTAAATTATCAGATATTTTATTTAGAAGAATAAGTACTAATTTTGTTTACATTTCTGTGGGTTCCGTACTAAGGCGTATGGCTTTTTGTATCCCCCTCTCCTTTGGTGATACATGGTGATATTCAAAATTAACCCCCCCCCCTCACCCAACATCACATGCGTTTTTAGTTACGTGATAAAACCGTGCTTTTTTCCAAAAAAATTTTAAATGTTTAAATTTTTTAAAAGAATCAATTAAAAATAAATGCACGTGATATCTTACTATATCCCTCCCATCACCACGTGATATTTCGTGATTTTTTGTCGAACCCCCCCTCTCCCTAAAAAAAAACTCACCCCCTAATATTTATTCGTAAGATTACGAAGCAGGGTTTACGCGCTTCGATATTTTATCTCTGAAACAATAACCTTAAAGAAGTTTAATTTTTCAAAAATTTCATTTTTTTTTTCAAAATTTTTAAAATTCTCAAAAAAATTTTTTTCAAAGTTTTCAAAAAAGTATAAAACAATTTTAAAAATTTTAATTTTTGTACCGGAAGTTCCAGCAATTTGCCTTAAGGCACAATGCCATGCACCACTAGTCCTAGTTAGTTTAAACGCATACATGCCTTACTATTGTATTTTTACACCACGTGCATCAAGGTGTAATGGCCGACGACGGCATCGCTGCATAGAACAACACGTTCTAATATCCGAATCCCCGTATCCCTTGTGTGGCGGGCACACGAAGAAACCCGTTAGATTCGAGCAATGCAAAGCTTTCTTGTTCGATTCCAACTCGACAGCTGTTTCGGGCTCACGGTTTGCAACGTGTACGGTGTATACGAACACATCACGGTGTAACGCATTAACTTCAGAACGATAGCGGACGTCGATCTTTTTCGCGAGAATATTAAATCTATATTATCGCTGTTAATTACATTCGGCACTTGTTCGGTGTGAGAAAGCGTGACTAGTGTTACACGAGGTGCGCGGCTGTGTTATAGACAATTCTATAATTTTTTTATTAGAAATGGTTAAGAAACAATATGGGAGATATCAACAGAACGGCAGTGCCGAACCTTTGCCAGAAAGAGGACCAGGTGAATAAAAATACTTGTAACAATCTGTTCGTTTGTTCTAAATAAATTTACACGTGGCGTTTGTTGTGCATCTGTATTTGTTATTACAACTTCATAGAATTCTGAATTTTCTTAACAAAATTATTGTTTTATATAAATTTTGAAGTGATCATTTCATCATATCACATATGGTCATACAATAGTGAAAATATCTATAATTGTTATAGGTTTTCATTGTGCTCTAACCACATGTTTGAACACATGTGCGATATCAAACGTCATTATCTATGTCAAACGTCATCAGTACTGTTACACTTGAATGTTGCTCTCCTGGTTTGAGTTGTACCTTTACGAGTTACATTATGAGTTAATTATCATAGTTGTATTGAGATGCGGTGGTAACTTCGATTAAATATTAATATTTTTTCTTCATACGAGTATAGTAGTTACAAATAGTGTTAGAACGAAATATCGAGTACTGAGTAAATATCGATAATTTGCGATCGATAGTGAGTACTTTTGGTATCGATTTTTTAGCTCGATCTATTTGCCAATATCGATCTTTTTCGTCGATAGTACTCAAAAAGAAGCGACAGCGTAATCTATGAAAACCACTCTACGACCAACTATTAACACCACTCATTGCCAAATGCAAAGCAATAGTCTCTATAGCTGGTCATAATTTTTTCAAAGAAGTGTCAAAAAATGATCCCGAAGGGTCATTAGTCTCAGAATTTATTGCTCAAAAACCCAAAATGAATATGACCACACTAATAAATAAAGATGTTTATTTATTACTCTTATGTAAAATGAAACGGCTTTTTAAAGTACCAATGTGTTTTACAAAAACATATTCAACAATCGATGTATGATTATTTCAAATAATAATACTCATCCATTTCAATATATTAGTATTTTGCGTAAAAAAGAATCGAAATATAATTATTTCAAATAATAATACTCATCTAATAAATAAATTTCTACGCAAAATACTAATATATTGAAAGGTATGAATATTATTATTTGAAATAATTATATTTCGATTGTTTTTTTACGCAAAATACTCATGTATTTTTGAATATCAGCATGCGAACATATGGTTTTGAGTTTCTCGGATCCTTTTAAATTTTAAATCCCATCGGACCGAAGGGATGTTTCTCTACAATAAGTGTCGAAATATTATCTTGACCGTCATTAAACTGAATATTTATTGCTTTCCAAAGAGCTTCATATTGCACTTTTATGTAAACATGTAACGGCTTTTTAAAGTTGCATGCTCGCTAAAATTATTCATATAAAAATATTCAATAATTATAAAATATTATTTTACTTAAAAATATTAAAAATATTATTGTACTTAAAAAGTATTGCTTTTTGAATATAGTATCAGACTATTATATTGTTTTAATCAAAAATACTCAACTATTATAACTTGTCTTTTTTTTTGAAAAATTATAGAATTTGAAATTAGTATTGAAAAATTACTGTTAAAATTTTACAATATTGAAAATGATTCTGATTTAACACATCAGATACATGCAATAGAATTCATTCTAATATTGTGATATGATATTTAATGAGTTTTAGATCTTTCTTGCATATGTTTGATTTTTTATGAAAAGTACTCAAAATTCGATATTGAGTACTATCGATACTTTTGCCACGATATTTTTTTGGAATCGATATTTTGATTAGATACTTTTTAAAGTGCTCAATATCGATCTTTTGCTTCGAATTTTTGTCTTGCTTATTGAAGCATCTTGATTTGTGCAGTTGCTTCATTTTTTAAATGTTCTTATCTATCAAATTCTCAGTTTAGAGTTTTATAACTTGCTTTAAGGTTGATGCATTTCCCTAGAATGACATAAACAAACCGGTTATGTTAAACCTGTTCACATGTTGCACTATATTACAGAATTTACCGAGGTACATGAATAATTTTTATTTTGAATAAAAATTGTTTTACAGGTTTTATCATATGACTATTTTAGAGGATAATATTTTATTTGTTCCTAGCATATATTTACAATTATCCACATATAATAAGGATATTCAGTATATATTTTGGCTTAAAGGTACAATTTGACATATATAAGCATATGTAGGTGCTGAAAAAATGCAAAGTTGCTTTTTTCATTATGAAATATGTTAGTTGACATAATTACATATTAGGTCTAAACTATTTTTTTTAAGTCTTCTGACAGTAACCATCGGTAGCACTGATTTGGTGGGGTAATTAAAACTCTTAAAAATCGGTTGTTTCTAAAGGATTTGTAAACAGATTTAAGAGAGAATGCATTTTAGTACAATATTCATGTATAATTGGTTTCTGTTACTCCTGATATTGACATTGTATTAAAATAATAAATACACTAATATCATACATTCAGTTACCCTTTTCATTCAATTACCATAATATTAGAGAGCCAAATAAGTTTCTAAACTAAATTACTAATTATTCAATAGAAAGTAGCAAAGCAAATATATATTTTTTCTATGAATGAATTATCGAACAAGACGGTATCAAATTTTTATGAGCATGCCGTGATAAAATAGAAAAATACGTCATAGTACATTGTGAATTCTGTTGCGAAGCTTGGTGTTTAATATAGTAAATTTAATATTATATATGTATATATATATATATATATATATATTATATGTGTGTGTATATATATATTAGGGTGGTCCTTAAAATGATCATTTTTGAATTTCCTTGCTTCCAGGGGCTCAAATGGTTCTAAATAGATAAAAAAACAATTCTCTGAAAGTTTTAGCTCCTAATATTAACGTTTAGATAGAGCGCAATTCAAAGTTTTGTATGAAAATAGCATGGAAAATTTTTCAAAAATTTTAAAAATGTTTTTTAGATGTAATTTAGCAAACAAATAAATGAATAAAACTCATTCATTTGTCGCTAAGTTCTACCTAAAACATTTTTTTTTTAAATTTTCAAATTTTTTTCCATGCCCTTTCCATATGAAGTTTGATTGAATTGCGCTCTATCTAAACGTTAATATTAAAAGCTAAATCTTTCAGAGAATTGTTTTTATCAATTTGGAACCATTTGAGCCCCTGAGAGCAAGGAAATTCGAAAATGACCATTTTAAGGACTAACCCACCCTAGTGCATATATAGAAAATATGTTAAATAAAGTTTAACTTTATCACTTAAATGAAATATTCAACATTTAGTCAATTGTAGTAAATATTAAATAATATTAATTTACGGATATTCAATTGATTTTTTTTCTTCTATTTTATGATTATTCATTTACTAAAATGACCATTTTCATTTGTGTGTACTCGGAATCATAAAAAATTAAAATCTTCAGCAGTGGAGTCGATATTTTCTATTTTTATATAGCAGGACTAGTACCCTCAAGGTTATAGGTCAAGTCATAGGTCGATTAAAGCGCATATAATCGTTCTATGAAAAAAATCTTTATCCAACATATTGCAATTTTGTTTTTGAAAGTTATACCCAAATTATTCTTAATTGATAGATATAATTGCAACTTTTTCGTTTGGTTACATTTTTTCTTCACACGATATTATAATTTTATAGATTATTTAAAAGATTTTATTTATTATTTATAGATTTTTTAATTAAAATGATTGACTATAACAACTAGGTCCTTCTATTATTGTCTGTTTGCAAAAAACGTTTTTCTTCTAACCTTATAAACTTGTCGAATCCTATGTCTTCATATATATGCAAAATATCATTTTCTGATTGATAGCATAAATTATGTTGCAAAATATGTTCAAATCCTCCCTGGAACATATAATAATTAATTAAAAAATAATATCGCCAGACAGAGATCCATGACGGTTTTTTGCTGATAAGTCATCACAAGTTACTTAGTTATTTTCAATACGTTTTAATCACAGAAATGGTTGGTGCTCTTACCAATCGTGGTTAAATTAATAAATTAATCAATAAATTTAATTCAATTCTGCTAACCATTTTGGCAGAGTTTTTAAGTTTTACATACTTGTTGGTGACACAAGATGCCTTTAGCCAAGCTCGAAGTATATTCGAAGTATATTATAGAAAGTTTCAAGTCGTTTAGCTTTCGAATTGAGTGTTTGGTACTTCAATCGTCTGAGCAATTGATAGCACATGCTTAACAATGATCCTACTTCTCTATGAAAAAGTTATTTTCGTCTTCCACCTTAAAACACCGACGCAGACGCGACGACCTACAAAACAACGCATTTTCCTAGGACTGGGCGATTCCGGAACTAGTGCTGGACGTCCAGAAGTCGATTAATAAATTACCCCAAATATTTAATATCGTATTATTATTTAGCTATCCACTCGTTTTAAAATCTTCAAACAACATTCACATTTTTGAAACATGTTTTATTTTCAAAATTAAATTTGCATTAGAAATCAAACTCTAATTTCGCAGACATAGTTCTTAGAGAAATATTTTAAATTAATTTTATTTTATTGGTTTTACATTTGTTGTATTTTTTAAATTTCAGAAAAAATAAAAAACAATCAGTATTAGAGTAGAATGATCGTATTAAATTTTCGATAAGTAGTCGTAAGTTTTAAATTAGAAAAGTAGTAGTAGATTGGTAAAATAGTAAAATTAGTAGAGTAGTAAAATTTACTATCGGATCTTTATTTCGTAGTATTGCACAAAAATTGGTCAATTTATTGAAGTTCCTATGAGTCTGTTAATCACGTGATCGATTTTGAAGATTTTTACCTCCCTCTCCGTTGGTAATAATTAATTAGAGCTAAAATTTTAATAAAGTTGGTAATAATTAATTAGAGCCTCCTCCGCAATCTAACATCACGAGTATTTTTGAGACATAATCGTATAAAATTTGGCTTTTTTTTAATTTCTGATATTTTTACATTTAGGCAAAAAATAAATGCACGTGATATGCTAATAGATACCCTGTCTCCCACGTGATATTTCGTGATTTTTTGTAATATTTTTTGGCATCTTCCAGAATAAGTAAACCAAAGCATTTTGTAGGACCTACCTAATTTGCAATAGT